TACTGGTTTTCTTGTCGCTGTGATTTATATTTGCCAGACACAGACCTCTTATTAGAAATGATTTTATAACCCCTAGTTTTATCCTATATGTATGATCAAATAATAAATTCATAGGAAGGTTTACGTGTGTAGATTTCCTATACATGTATCGGCCTAATTTATTACCTTCTTTGTTCATAAATAAACCCATGAATGGAAATTTGGTCTGCCTTTGTAACTCAAGAGTTTATTTACAAATGGTATATACTTAATTCAATCCCTAAAGCATGTCTACTAATATCTCTTTGCCATATTACCAAACAACAAAGTATTAAATACTCTTAGTTCCAAAGTTCTTAGTTATGCTTATGGACGATTACTTTGTTGTTCGTTAACACGGCAATGACAGATAGGGCAGACAATATGCCTAGTATCTCTATGAAGGTGTTTCTTTATTTAAAAACTCTCCAACTCTCAGCTATTTAAATAATTTTGCAGGAAAGCTTTTGAGTCTATAATTTTGGCCTTTGTCGTGCTCTTACTTAAAGTCTTGTAAGGTTCATAATTATCTAAGATCTTCAACATATTTTTCTAAAAGTATGCCCTATCCATAACTACCACTATTCCAACTTTATCTACACTCAACACTATTTGGTCATTTTGATTAAATATATTTATTATGATATTAACTCTTCTATACATAAACTATACTTCTGTATGACCATTAATCAAAAGAATGATGTCAACTCAATATCATCCTTAGTCTCCCTTGCAAACCTATCCATCAAGTTAGTATATTTTACAGTTATTGTCTCGTTTATATTCTCATCACTTGGCAAAGGGGATTTTAAGCCATTTGATAGGACCTGAAATCTTTTGATTCATACTAAACCTAATTTAGGAGTTAACTAGAGACTTCCTTGTAAAGTATTTGCCCTTTTAATGGTCAACATTTGCCTTTTTAATCGGTCATAGTCTGGAAAATACATTCATGTACCGCTTTTCCTGTTCGTTTCCATTATTCTTCCTTACATTATGTAAGGTGAATTTTCGTTTATAAACAATTCCTCTAAACTGTAAAGCATGTCCTGTAATATACAGGATAAAGAATTAAATTTTAATCAACAAGGAAAGGCTTTTTTATTAATAATTTTTATATTATATCTGCTAGTAAAAATCCATTACCCTGTCCTAGGCTTAATTTTTCAATGGTAAAATTTAACCTAAATTTGTACAGTATACCAAATTCATGTGTATTATTCACAAAACTCACGCCAATAGTAATCTATAAAAAGTATAACCTTACCTAAATTTAGTTTTTCTGTTTATTTCCCAAGGCATACAAAAATAACTACTTATAATTAAACTATGAAGTAGCTTTATTCGGTTTGTCGAAATGCCTCATGGCAGTATTTTTGGTATAAAGATGACATTGATCACTTTTACGTATGTATGAAATTTACTACCATCTGCTGCAATTTCCCCGAGCATTATTAAGAAGCTATCCTTCAATGATGTTATGAATAAGAACACGAATGTGTCAACGTAAGCCTAAGGCTAGTTATAAAGGGCTCGTAGTAGCATTGGAGCATCTTTTAGTATTAAGTGTAAAGAGTTAGTATAGTTGTGGATGTTATGGCCTTATGCTATTCGCACTTTTGTAAGGAAACATACAGCTTCTTGGTCAAATGACATTGTTGTCTCTTACTTTCTTGTGGGCACACAAACCCACACATCCGATCATAGATCCTATTCAGAGAGGAGGCGAATAGATCAAAATAAGTTCTCCTATGCTTGGTAGACCCCATTTTTGCGAGCAATTCGTGCTGTCAGGGCGAGTTCGGAGAATGTAGTCCATTACTTCATTGTTCTATTATTGTCTTGTGCTTTTCAATCATCGGAACAGCAATTGAGTACATTTCCGAAGGATCACTTGTCGGTAAAGTCGGCATTGACAATACACAGCCCCGTCTTTGGCAATGAGATACAACTCAGCAAAGTAGCACATATAGTCAATACTGGTGCTGCTCATTGAAGATGTAGACTGTTCGCAAGAGAAACGCCCGTGAATGTATTCATTAACTGGTCAGATGGAGAAAGAACACGCGAAAGCAACTGAAGTGAGAATACTATGGGCTACACTCAAAGTTATGTTGGCAAAAGGATTAAAGTGTTAAAATGAGTTTGAAATAAATACATTTAACGAGAGGAAAGACTAAGATCAGAATAGAGGCTACACGATCTTGGACCTCATGACAGAGAATTGACCCTAGCTTGTTAAACAGACATATATTCCCCAGACTATGGATCGTATCCTAGGCGTCGCCAGCTAATTGTACAAGAATCGGAAAAATCATGCTTGCCTGGCCTCGAACGTGTATTTTGGTAGGCGCAAAGTAGTCATCTCCACTCGAGTCACCCAAACAAAGCTGAAGCTTGCCTGACTTCAGGGTGAAATCTACACGCAGCAGATGCGCACTGTAGCCCCGCGAAACATTAGCACTTCCACCCAACATATGAGAACAACGAGTGACCTCAAAAGAACATCGGCTCCTGGCATTTCGATGGCATTATGCAACCCAACAAACACGAGTATCGAAGGTTGGAAGACCAAGGTACTGTCTCCACTATCTCCTTTCCTTGTATAGATCTCGTATTGGGAAGTTGCTATTTATAGATTTGAAGAGTTTATTCCTGAATAGTTACCGGTGGATAGTAGAGATGCAAAAATTTGTCTTAAGCTGAGTTTTTCGCAAATAGTCAAAGTACTTTAATGAATTTAGTAATAGCCAGCATTTAGGTTCAACTATGAGGGGGT